AATTTATAAGGAAGAAACTAAGTTTGAAACATTATAAATTCAGGTAATTTGATACTAGGAATATATAATTAATTTTCTACTAAACTAATATAAAATAACTGTCATTTTTCAGTTAGAAAACTATACAAAATATATCTCCATATAAGGACTTCATGAATATTTACATCGAGAAATTCCTTACAATATTACTTAGGTCACCTAAGAGTTGTTAAGTAATACATTTAAAATATTTTTTACAAATCTAATAAGTTCACTAGATCTCCTACTTCATCCAAAGTTAGGATCATAAATTACAATTGCCTAAAAATTTTAAATATTTAAGCTGTTTGTAGATTGAATTATACCATATAAATTTGATGCACATTTCACAGTGCACATATGTATTTTAGCATAAACAATATACAATATAATGTAAGGAAATAGGATATTTGAAAATGAACCAAAAAACTTACGTCCAGGCAAAATACAATAGGCACATTTGTCTTTTCTTCCATTTAATACAAAAATCAAACACAAAAACAGACCTGAAGAGGAAATAAAGCAGCTATTTAGGAAACCTGAGAAAAAACAGAAGGCGTGTTAACTCATGCTCCATTTCTCCTCTATGAAAAGTCACCAGAATCTAGGTAAGGAAGATAAGGCATAAGGAGCAGATGCCCAATTAATAACTGTTCCAGGGGTGTCACATCCCAATTCACCTGTTCCTTTAACCATAAGCCAACATTTCAGCAGCCTCTCCAAGGAACAAGGAAGTGAGTGGCAGGCTGGGCACATGGGAAGCGCGGGGAAGGCTTACTGCCTCTAGTTTGGCCTTCCTGCAACAGGTATGCAAGACATTAGATACCAACATGAGGCAGAAGAAGGGTTAACATTTTACAGAGAGGATCTGGGAAAGGCAAGCAGGAGCCATTGGTTGGCGAGACCATTGTGAGAGTCTTTTTGGCTCAGCACTGGGAAGGTTGTGCAATATGTGTGCCAGGCAGCCTCATGGCTGGGTTCACTGCAGGGCTCAGCATCCCAAGGAGGGAAGGCGGCTCTCTTTTTCGCCCCCCGGTGATGACTCGGTTCGTGAAGGGCCTGCAGAGGGTTTACGGCAACGGGTTTCAAGCCATCTCATTGTGCTTGATTCACAAGCAAAAACTATATGACTGCAAAAGTAAATAGAAATGTATTTTCAGGATTGCATAGAAAAGCAATTTTAAGATAATGTTTAACAAATTTTACCAAAATTTGTAAGTGTGAGAGAGTGTCTTTTGTGTTCAATGGACAGTGGAGTGTAAAGAACTCCACTCTGGAATCATGACTCACTTAATTAGTGAGCTGCGCAGTAGTGATCATCTTACTTTTATAGGCTTAGTGTATTTGTTTATAAGTAAATGTTATGGATTAAAAACTGGTGGTCAATTTAACATCAGCTGCATAACATCAGCATAGTGCTGAGCATAGATGTTCCACCTGAGGAAAGTTGCCAGCATAAATAGAGATGTGGGGAAGGAGAAGTTAGCATTGAGGCATTGTGGATTCTCCGCAGTTTGAGCCATTAGGTTCTCTTGGAGAAGTTTTGGTCCTCACATTGAGCATTGCTTCCTGGCTCCAGAAAGGAAGATGTGTGCTGCTTGGGCTGCAGGATGAACTCATCACGCTGGCTTCCTGCCACGTCCTCAACTGTGCTTGTCATCGAAGGAACTGGGGGGCTTCTGTGTCGCTGAGGATGGCTGTGGTGCCTTTCAGGACAGCTCTGGTCTTTGTTGTGAGTGTGACTTCTCGACTTCAGCATAGAATTCTCAACCTACCAGCACAGCTCCTTCACTCTGCTGGCACAGACTTCTTAGTTTCCACCGCTGACCTTTCGGCCTTCCTAGCATGGATCCGAAAAAGAGACTGGCATGAGTCCTTTGTGTGAGCTCTAGACCTTCAGTTGGACTTGTAGGAGGCATTGTCATGAGCTCTGGGTCTTAATCTGGGGTCAGGTGGGACATTGCTGTGGCATTCAGACCTTTGGCAAAATATTCTATGTCTTTAGTGTTGTAGATAGATTTCCTGCATTTTCTTGGGTTAACTTGGGTGACCATCATAAAAATAATATTACAAATTCCATGTCCTGATTCTCATTGTTCTCCTCACAACCTCTGACTACAATAGTAAAGAAGTAAATAACTCAAATTTAGGAGGACTACTTATTTTTCCAGAAAAGCTTTCTAGGAATAATACATCATTAAAATGAGACTTAATTGACTTTGAAGATCAGTTTTTGTTTCTTTTGTGTCTTTATCCTAACTTCCTAGCTTTACAGAACCCTTGACCACTATTATCTCAGTTTGTCCTAGTTGATTCTAAGCATTGGTTGTTTTGTGGTTGTTGTTTTCTTAAGTCTAAAATACAAAAATGTATTTTTAGAGGAGGACTTCCAGTTACTTCTGCCTTACTCTGGGAAATTTCTAACTCACCTTTTATAGGTATGTGTGCTCCTGTGAACGCAAAAGCTTGCCTTATTTTGGCTGCATTCATGAGTACAAATATAAATATTCTAACTCGTTTAATGGCTACTCAAACTACAGTTCCACAGATGAAGTGTTTTTATATTTTAACAAAACCATTTTGATCACACACCATTTATCTAAAAACCTAACCTCTGCAATGGAGAAATCATTTTATGACTTACCTCAACTAATACTGCCTTTTCTCCCCAGTCTACATCACATTCCAGCCCCCTCCAAAATAGTATCTCCTCTCTTACTGGTAGCAAATTAGAGATCTAAAATTCTGGTGATTGTTTTTAGAGCAGCAGAGTTTTGAGACTTTAGAACTTATATTGCTATCTTGTAGTTTAATGAGAATACATATGCTCTGTCCTCTCTTTAGTATGACTGGGGGTAAGTCTGCATTTAGAAAAATAACAAGTTAAATCAAATAAATAACTGAAATCTAGTTGGGCCCTTGTGCAAGAGCTCAGACAAAATCAATAATATCCTATAAATCTTATTTAACAACTATAATATGAATTTTAAAGCTAAAATTGGATATTCTATGTATAATTTTCCTTCCCCTTGATGGTACAAGTTTACAATAATCAAGTAGCCAAAAAAAGGCATTTAGATATATATGAGATGTGATGATTCAATTTTCTTCAAGATTCTCACTTAAAAGCAAGTTAGGGAAAAGTGGATAGTAATTAGACTCTGTTTTGAAGTTCTATTTTTGTTTTGGAGTAATCATGATTACATTTGTCTAAGTTTTTCTAGAAAGGATCAGTTTGCTTTTTCATAATTTATACACTGAATTTTTAAAATATTCTATTCTATGATAGATATTATTGAGACTGTACAATCCAAAAGATCAGAAACTATGATATAGCATTCCTATTCTATGGCATATATTATTGAGACTGTACAATCCAAAATGTCAGAAACTGTGATATAGCATTCTATTTACATTTTAAATATGTAAAGTTTGTGCATATTTGTGCATTATGTGCACACATATCTTGCTTACAGCATGTGTGCTTAGTTTTTCTTTCCTGAGTGGCAATCTTGTCACCTCTTTTCCTGTTTTGTCAGGAGCTTCCTACTATATGATACAACATGCCACATATGTTTAGTGTTCAGTAAAATACAATCATTGGTCAATGCTTTCTGTTTCAAATGACATTTTTGTTGGTGCCTAACTCATCAACATCTATTCTAAGTTTGCTTTTGTTGTAGAAAGTTTTTGTGCGAGGCTTCTGTTGTGCCCAGCTTTCCCTGTCAATATTGCCATCATGGTGAAACATTAACATCAGCGGCACCTTTCACTGCAGGCTACTTCTGCATTAAATTCAGGGAGGGCTGTGAGTCTCTGTGCCTCTCCCTGGGCTCAGGGAAGTAGAGCTTCCACTGGTGGGGCAGATTCCAGCACAGGAACCCAGGCATCTGCAGGTGAGTGAGGTGTGGTTTCCTCTCTTCTCAGAGGATGCAACCCCAAATCCCAAGGCGACCTACCTGGGTCTCGGGAGGGGGATGTACCTAAAGAGATACTGATTTTCTTTGGTTTGTGGATAGAAGACATAGGGTGGAGGTTGGGCACAAAGCTCGATGAGTTCTAGGGAAGAGGAAGGAAGCAGCACAAGGGCTCAGTAAAGCTTCCTGCTGGGTCCTCAGGAAGACCACCAGAGCTTTGCTCAACTATGCAGAACCATTTTAATGACAGGATGTCCGGCCAGAAAGAACCCCAGGGCTCTGCTCAGCTTCACTGCTTCACAGCTTGCAAGGCTGCTTGAACCCGGGTAGGAGCTGGGCTCCCCACATTTTAAGTGTAGTGGGGTGTTTACAAAGCCTGCTTTAGGTTAATAAAGACTGAATAGTAAGTAGTGATCAGAATTCTCACTGTAGCCCAAACTATACTTACGATTTGGCAATCCCAGAGGTAGGGCCAAGGCCAAAGAGCACATACGGAGGGGTGACTGAGACTTAGACTGCAGAGTTTGCATCCTTCCTCCACTACCTCACATTCTTGGACTCTGACTTTCATTGCATTTGTGAGGAAATGTAGTGTTTATTTAGAAAATATCTAGGTATGGTAAAAAATGCTGGTTGCGGGCCTCAAACTCAGGATCTGGTTCTATGTGGTAAAGTAGTGGTTCTCAAATTTCAATCATACTCAAAAATCACCTAGAAATCCAGTTCATGCTGACTTTGCAGAGCTCCATGTTTCACATTTTCTGATTTAGTGTATCTGTTAAGAGTTTTTTTTAATGTTTCTAATGCTTCACCTTAAAGTGTGTAACTATGACGAGAATTATGAGTTAAAGCAGAGTACTACGTGCATTAATGTAATTTCTCACAATAGTACCCGTCACTGCAGAAAAAACTAAATAACAGTTTCAATCGGTTGGTCCACGAACTTCACAACTCCAGGGCCCGCTGGGGTTCTCAGCCAGCCTCACCCCCTGAGGCAGCCAATTCTTCAGGTAGCCCAGAAGAGTGACGGGGACTGCGTCCAATCAGCGCCCTCAGGCGGGTGAGCAGTCATGGGCGGAGCAGCCGGTATTGAGGGTGGGAGGGTGAAGCACCAGGGCCAGACCCTGGGTTGTGGTCCCAGAGAGCCCGAACAGCGCCTGTTGTCTTGTGTTTTGGTAAGACTTTTTCTTTTATTACCTTTTAACCTATTCTGGGGAGTACAGCCCTTTTTCAAGAACACGCATGGAAGAGTGTGATCTTCATAGTTTTGAAAATCTGGAGAAAACCCCTTCTTAAGAAACACCAGGGCTGAGATTTTTCTCTCAGTTTCTAAGTTCCTTCCCTGGCTCTTCCAAACTGGAGCACACTCTTTCAGACCTCCAATCTGAATACTTCCTTTCCATTTTGGGAGTTCTCCCCTTAATAAGTCCCTCTGGTCCGAGGTCCAGTAACCAAAGTTTCATCCCACAACTCCAAGGAAGAATATCCTTTCCAGACTCATGATCCAATGACATATTTCCAGAGTTTTGTAAATGTGAAGTAACTTTCTTTTTTCAGCCTTTGAATCTGGGATCTCCTAAAAATGAGCTCTAAAGCTTCACATTTATGGGCACATTTCTTTTTCAAAAATGGAGGAAACCACTGCCTTTTTCTGTTTTGTTTTGTTTTGTTTTGTTTTGTTTTGTTTTATGACAGGGTCTTGCTATGTAGCCCAAGCTTGCTTGGAACTCACCATGATCCTGTCTCAGCCTTACAAAGGTTGGGTTTACAGGAATGGGCCACCGTGCCTGCTAAATCAGTACTTTTTTCCAGTTACTCCAACCTTGCAACGGCACCTTTTCGTGAGTTCCCTAAAGTACCTTGCATATCCTAGGGGAAGGATTTTCCTGTCTGCTAGGGTATTTACTTCCTGGTCCCATTAAATGTACTAAGGGCATACTTTTTAGGATGAAATGCACAACTCAAAGTGCGCCCCCTTTCCTGATGCTTCTTCAGTTTGATGGCAGACCCTTTTCCTGAGTTGTCTTATTCCCAGGTGGTAGGTGAATGGTTTGTGGTTCTTGAGTGTACATTCCTATTCTTAGTAGCTTTTCTACTGTTCAAGATGTTTTCTTTCTTCATTCTCCTTTCCACTTGGAACTACATTCCCTGTAGCTCCTGTCCCAGTTCTGCTACTTCACCCATTTTCTCTTTTTTCCTATAGCAAGTGCTGTCTTTGTTCAGGCATTCCCAGGCCCTTTGTTTTTCCTGAGCAGACTTTCAGTAGTTGTATCTCCTGAATCCCTGCCAAGATCTCTCCCCACAAGGAGTGCCTGCAGCCTGTCATATCTCCACTTTATCTTCTGCAAACCAGAGCTCTCTCTCTTGGTTTACCTCATGCCCAGGTATTTGTCTGCTTTCTACTCCCTTTGACGCTTTTCTACTTATTGCATGGCTTTAGAGATTTTGCATTCTCTTCTAGTTGTCTGGAGTGGTTCCTTCTGTGACAGGAAAGGAATGTTTTGGCTTCTCTTTCCTTTGTTATTCACAGGATTAAATCCTCATTGTGATTTACTTCCTGTAAGAGTCTGGCTAGGTGGACCTAATTCCTTATACTGGGGAAAAAAAATAGCCCTAACAGATTGCACTGTACTATACTGCTTCTAGTGTACCACAAGCTTCTCCTACACTGATGTTCTTTCTTTATCAAGAAAAGAATAGATGAAAGTAGAGACACTCTATTCTGATTTTCTGTAGGGTTTATCATGAATGAGTATTGAACTTTATCTAAAGCTTTTTCTGCGTCTATTGAGGAGTATCTGTTGAGGAGTATCTATTGATACTCTATTGAAGAGAGTATCATGTGATTTTTGTCTTTGCCTATGTTGAAATGGTGTATTACCTTTATTGATTTGCATATGTTGGACCACCCCTGCATTCATGGGGTGAATCCCACTTAGTCATGGTATATAATCTTATTGATTTGCTGCATTCTGTTTGCTAGTATTTTATTGATGTTTTTTGCATCTGTGGTCATTAGGGAGGTTGGCCCATAGTTCTCTTTTCTGGTTCAGTGTTTCTGTGGTTTTGGTATCAGAGTAATACTTGCCTCAATTTCATTAAAGAGTTTGACAAGTGTTAGTGTTAAATCTTATCTAAATTCTTGTAGAATTCGCCTGTGAATCCATCAAGACCTAGGCTTTGGGGGCTGGGAATTTAGCTCAGCGGCATAAGCGCCTGCCTTGCAAGCAGGCAGTCGTGAGTTCGATCCCCGGTACCGATAAAAAGGAAAAAGACAAAAAAAAAAAAAAAAGACTTAGGCTTTTCTTTATTGGTAAGTTTTTAATTTTATTACCTGATAGTAAGTTCCTCAAAATTCTAGTATCTTTTTGATTCAGCTTTGGTAATTCATGTGTTTCTAGCAACCTGTCTATTTCTTCTGTGTTTTCCATCCTATGCAAGTAAAGAATTTTGATTCAATAAACATATTCAGCAGCATAGCTGGACACAAAATCAACACTCAAAGATCAACAGCATTCTTGTACACAACAAATTCACTGAGAGAGAAATTCATAAAACAGCCCCCTTTCAAAATAGCATCCAAAAAAATAGAAATACTTAAGAATCAATCTTAATGAAGTAAAAATCTGTATATTGAAAATTAGAGTGCTTTGAAAGAGGAAATTGAAGAAGATATCATAAAATGTAAAATTATCCCTGGCACATGGGTAAAAAGCACCAAAATTGTGAAAATGGCAATACTCCCAAACTGTTATAAAGATATAATGCAATCTCAACCAAAGTACCATTAGCATAAATCACAGATCTAAAGAAAAGATTCCTAAAATTCATTTGGAAACAGAAGAGACCTAGAATAGTAAAGGCAATCATGGCAACAAAGGCAAGGCAAGTGGCATGACAATTCCTGATTTGAAGTTGTACTACAAAGCTACTATAATAAAACAAGCATGGTAGTGGCAAAAAAATAGACCTGAGGATCAGTGGAATAGATTGGAAGATGCAGACACAACTACAAAAACACTCAGCCACCTTGTCAGCAGTAGGTAGAAGTCTTGAAGGCATGGGAGTAGGCTGAAAGTTCACTTAGTCTTTGGCATGAAACTAGACCCATGCCTGTTACCATGCACTAAACTAAAATCAAAATCTAAATATTAAAACGGAAACACTAAATCTGCTGGAAAACAATGTAGGTAGAAATCTTGAAGATGGGTAGGCTGAAAATTCATGAACAAAACCTAAACAGTTTAGGAAAGACTTTAAAGAATCAACAACTGGAATCTCACTTATTAAAATTTTTGCACATCAAAATAAATCAACAGACAACCCACAGAACGAGAAAATATTTTAGCAAGCTGTTCCTCAGGCAAAGAGCTTCTATCTAGAACATGTAAAGTATTGAAACTATCAGGCTACTGACTCAGGGCCCCTTCTGTCTCTCTCTTAGACATAAACTTTCTTTCTCTCAATAAATATTTCTGATCTAAAAAGAAAAAGAATTTTAAAAAATCAAGCCCCAAAATTTAAATATTCAGTCCAAAAAAGGGAATCTGAGATGACTACATACTTATCAGATGAAATAAAGTAGCAAATCAATATATGAAAAAATGACCAACATCATTGATCATTTCAGAAATGCAAATTAAAACAATACTGAGTTTCCATCTCCTCCTAATAAGAATGGTTATTACCAAGAAATCAACCAATAACAAATACTAGGGGAGCTGTAGGGGGAAATGAACACCTCTCTGCTGTTTGTGGAAGTGTAGACTGGTACAACCACTGTGGAAATCAATATGGATATTCCTTAAAAACTTAAGATTTCAATTCTCATTCAACCCAACTATTCCCCTTCTGAGTATTTTCCCAGAAGAGCTGAAGACATCATATACACCAGTGATATATATATATATCATGTTTATAGCAGCACAATTTGTAATAACTAAATCTTGGAAATAACCCAAATGCCCATTAACTGAAGAATGGATAAAAAAGATGTAGTAGTAGTTTTGTTTGTTTGTTTGTTTTTACAATGGAGTACTACTCAGCTATAAGGAAAGATAAATTTGAGGCCTTTACAGGTAAATGAACACAATTTGAAACCCTACTCATAAGAAATAAATCAGACTCGCATGTGTAAACATTGTGTTGTCTCCCTAGTGGAACAAACTGAAACAGTAAATAAGATTCAAAATGCACAAAAGATATTGTAAAAGTGGAAAAGCAAGAAACTGCTCAAAAGGAAAGAACAACTGGGATGGAGAAAAGAAAAAAGGGAAAAAAATACACACATATACATGTATGTATATATATACATATATGATAATTATGTTACTAATCTCTATTAGTTCACTGAAAAGATAGTTTGTGTTTTCATTGATCAATTTTTCATGCTTATATCATAATTTGAAGAACTATTTGGAAGATAATACACAACATTCTAACCATAATACATTAAGTATTATTTTGTCTTGAAATTCTGTACCATTGTTTTTATTTTTTTTTTTCTTCTAAAAAATAAAGAAAGGAAAAGAGTTAGTTTGGGTTGGGAATGTAACTAAATGGTGGAGTGGTTACCTAATCTGTAATGGGCCTTGGGTTAATCTTCAGCACTGAAAGAAAAGACACTTAAAGAAATCAATGGACCTTTTTTTGGAACTGGTCTCAAATTATTGTATATTTTTGATATGGTATAAGTACATTCATCTTAGGAAATTCGCTCATATATATTAATCATTTTCCCCTTTGCACTCTGTTGTCCTGCCCTTTGCACATTTTTGTCCCCAAATCGCATTTTAAAACTCTACACATATCTGGCACAGTCTTGTGTCTTAAGAGTCACTTAGTAAATTTTTTTTCTTTTGTATTTCCCTCTCCCTTTTCAGATCTTGCTGATGACCTCTCAGCCTGAACCCCCAACTGGTTAATTTCCTGACAGCTGGCATCTCAAGATCTTAGGGGAAGATGACATCTCTGACTTTTATCTTTTGGGAGGAAGTACAGAGAGGGAGATTGTTTGGGTCTTAAGATCTACAACAATCCGACAAGATGGGGTATACCTGTTTTTCAGGAACAATCCCTTCTGAATCTCATTAGAAATTTGGATGTTTGCCAACCATCTGCTACCAAGGAATGAAGGGAGATTTCGTATCTGTAGGAATTAATAGGATTGGGGGGA